ATCGCAGAACGTTCTGAATCATTCTCCGTCCCTATCGTTACTTTGACTTTTGTTTTCGAAACTTGCGTTTCTCCAAACTCAGTCAAAGTGGGGGCTTCTGTAGACACCCATTTGTGTCTCCCCCAAACCAAACCTAGTGATGAATACCATTCATGTCATTGATTATCAAACAAAGCAAAAGTGTGAAAACTCTAGTGATGAGAATGATTTTATTAAAATATCTCTTCTTTTGGTTTTTGAAAATATTTCTTTTCTTACCCTATTTATGAAAAATGTACATTTTAGTTTAGTTTGGTCCATGATATGGGTCCAATAATAGTTTATTTGGATGTGTCTTGAAAAGACCTTTCCAACGATATATTATAAGCCCAATTCCGATGAATAATGATGAAGTTATGGCCAAAATACTAAACTAGGCCCAAACCGTATTTTACCTACGGCCCAATGATCATGTGGAGGGTTCAAAGGTTTAATACTATTCTTAAAATAATTAGGATTAATTAGACACTTCCATAAGTTTCTAAAAGATCTTAATTATACTTTTTGAAAAGATAAAATCAAAGAGTTTGAAATTGAATAAAACTTTCCTTTTTTTTTCCTAATTCTATTCAAATTTAAAGATGTTCAAAGACATTTAGATATTATTTTTGTTCCTCATAATCTTTATCCAAATCTTATACGGTTGGATATATCTTGAAATTATCTTTCCGTTGATATATTATTACATTAATTTCGAGCTATAACGAAAAAGATATGAAAGAAATACAAAACTCTATCCAAAACTGACATCCTTCCACTAATTTTTCCATATATTTTTTTCTACAAAATATTTTTATCTGATTTAAATTGGGTTGGAAAGTAGACTTCAATAGATTTCCAACGACATATTATATGACTTGTTTGGAATTCTGGATAAAAAGATATGATAAAAACAATATCCGTAAAAAACTGTCTTGCACTGCCAAACGACAAGTTTGTCGCCTGGCGTTGCAGTGCAGCGCCTGGCGACGAGCTCTGTCGTTAGCGACATAAAGTAGTTTTATTCCTTTTTGAACTCTGATTCTTTTCTAACAATTCTGGACTACTTTCTTATAAATAGGGTCCCTGGACCTCCGTTTTTCAACTCTCAACCAAAATTCTCTAATTTTTTATCTCCCTAAGCTAAAGCTTATTCTCTCCTCTCTCCCTCTTTCTAGCCTAGCCTTTTACAAACACAATTCCTCATACATTAGCACTAGACACACCTAGCCAAGTTCGATGTTGCCTTCGCCCTAGACGTGAAAGGTTTGATATTTCTGAGGGTTTGGTCCCAAATCTCTCTTTCAATTATTTAATTTAATTGTTTTGTTTATTATTTTCCTTGAAGTTACTAACGTGTGTATTTTGTTATTAGAAAGAGATACGAGGCATTTAAGTAAGTAATTTAATTGTTTTATTGATCTTTCTACATAGAATCATGCTTAGATTATTTTATTTTGATTCCTAGTATCATGTTAGGATGTTTTATTGCTTCCTAGTGTCATGTTTAGGGTAATGATTAAGTTTCTTATATCAATTATGATGCTTCCTATTTTCTTTCCTAATATCATGTTAGTATCATATTAGGGTTAAAGCTTTGATCTTTATTGTTTAGTGACATTCTAGGGTGTGTTTTTAATCTTGTTAGTATCATGCCTAGGATCTTGCTATTATTATGCTTTATCGTTGATATGATTATGGTTATGATTATTTTAATTATGATCGTTATTATTATGATAATCATTATGTTGCTTGATTATATTTATTGTTATTGCTTGATCACACCTTTTATGCATGTTTAAAGGGAATTTCTACTTGAAATCGCACTAAATAAGATAATTAATAATCTTGTTTAAGGTTAATTTGATTATAATTCAAGTGATTGCCAATAATAGATTTATATTTGTGCATTAATATTCAACCAACATAGATTAAACAGGTTTAGGATAAACCTATTGATTGTATGTTAGTCAAAAAGCGCACATGAATACGATTAGAATAAAGTAGAGGCCTATTTTATAGGGCGAGTTTTGTCTCTTTTAGATTGGATTCGTACCCTCACACCTGAACACCAGTCATGGTTCCAGACCTATTGGAGTTAACGATCTCCTGGATCATTAAGGGGTGTAACCTTCACCCTGTGAATGATTTACAAGTTCCTAAAACTTGTTGGCGACTCTTTTGCTCTAGCTTCCTTCCCTTTGGACGCTACCGTAATTAAGTGTATGATCACAGTACAGTGGGATTCAAGTTTGGGGTAATGCTTGAAATATTCCCTACAATTATGAATATGATGATTATGGTTAATTGTATGGTGATTTTGGGATTGTTTTGAGTGATTTGGGCTTATTTTTTATATTGATTGTTAATTTTGTTGGTTGTTGTTTGGATTTTAGTTGTCGTCTTGTTTGAAACATGTACTTTGTAGTGTTTGGTGGTGTTGTGAAGTTGTGTGTAGTGTTGGTTGTAGTATTTGTGTTGAGTAGTTTTTGGTGTGAATTCCTTTGAGTTTTTTTTGTTGTTTGATTTGGTGACTATGGATTTGTTAAGAAAGAGCAAGAGTAGCAAGATGCGTTCTCACCGATCTTCTTAAGGCCAATACTCCCATGGCCAATCTTCCCATAGCCAACCTCCTCAAAACTCCACTCCTCAAGATATTACCCCACCTCCACCTCTACCCCTTCTCAAATTTTATAACCGCTCTAAACAAGCTCCAATCTACAACAAAATGAAAACCCGAAAGTTTAGGCCAACCCGCAATTATCATCATGCCGACATAGTCAAGTTAGGAATTGATTCCGATCTTGACACCCTTCTCCGAAACCTCCATTTGGACGAGTTTGTCAAATCTTGTCCTAGAACATATTTGGAACCCACCATTGAGTTTTTCTCTACATTTGAATATAATAGAGTGGGGGATACTGATTTTCTCATCTCTTTCCAATTGTTCATTGTCAAGCGTACATTAATCCTCCACAAATTCAATTAATCCCTTGGTTTTAATCCTCGTGCCGATATTTTTGAGCCACTCCTTTCCGACCCGGTTGCTTATAATAAGGCTGCATGGTGGAGAACCATTGCTAATAAGAGAACGTTTGACTCCAAGATATCGCTTGCTATTGAATTTATTCACCCGGCCCTTAGGATTCTTCATAGGGTTCTTGGTTATGCCATTTTTAACAAGCAAGACCTTGGGAAACTTTCAAGGGAAGAGATTATGGTTCTTTGGATGGCTACCAAGTCGGATTTTGGGCCTAAGGAGAATTTTGGGTACATTTTTATGGAGTGTTGCAAGGCGATAATTAGTGGGACCAAAACCGGAGAGATTCATTGTGGAGGATTGGTTACAAGGTTGGTTACTCATTTCAAACAAGAGGGGTTCTTGAGGTCTTGCACTCCTGTTGTAGGGAGTGAAGGCGTGTTACTAGACTTGAAGCAACTCAACACATTATGCTTCATCACTAGTACCAGGAATGCCAATGTCTCTATTCTTGGTTAGTGCGAAATGAGCACTATTGCTTGCTTTCAAACCCGGCCGCAACTTCTATTCATAGGGAGGCTAGGAATGTTTGGATTATCCCTAAGGATAAGGGCAAGTGGTAGTTGATCTAGAGGAGGATGCAGATGTGAATTAGGAGGATGATGATGGTGATAATGGTGGTGGAGAGGAAGAACAATAACAACAACAACAACAACAATAAAAACAACAGCAGCAACAACAACAACAACAACAACAACAACAATGCATCAACAAAGACGAGGAAGAAGACACCAACGACAACAACATTACTTCCAACAAGATCCCTATCTTCGGGAGATGATGACCATGCGAGATTAAATGGAGCGCATGCAATTAAGCATGCAAGGTATGTATGCCGGCAACCAAAACTTAGCTATTCAAACTAGCGCCTTGTATGATGCTAGTGTATGTAGGGGGGAGGTCGCTCCTCTGGTTAACTACCCGTATGTGTCGGCCCAACTAGGGCCCGTGCCATCTTGGGGTGGTGACAACCTCCCTACGTACCCTTATTGGCAAGGGGTCTTAAACCCGATGAGCCTAGGCGCAATTTCCCCGATGAGTCCGGTCTTTATGACTATCGGGTTTCAAGAGGGAGTGACTATAGGGGTGATCCTAACTACCGCTATGTTCACCCCACTCACCCCGAGCTTTGTGTTCAACCCGAGCCATATGACCAGTTGACCGCATCCCAACTTGACCTTTTCAAAGGTCATTATGGGTGGCCACCCGGTTATACTGGTGGTTGGGATCCCTATGGCCCCCCATCGGGCTTCTCTTATGATGGGGATGCAGGTGATTGTGGTGCCGGCCCTAGTGGCCATTAGTCCCCCTTGGGTTGCTTATTTCCCCTTTTTGATACCTCCCCTATAGTTTCCCTTTCTTGTATGCATCGCGGTCGATGCACTTATTTTGTGAGGGGGGAGTCGAAAAGGGTGTTTTAGGGTAGGGTTAGGGGGAGGCACCTTGGACTTATGAGGATATGTTTGAAAAGGTTTTGGTGGGTTTTCTTGATTCGCTTTTGGTAGTCTAGTTGGTATGTTGTTTGTTATGTTTTCTAGATTTTGATGATGATGTTTTGGGATTTTTAATAATGCTGATGACGATGGTTTTTCTAGGTTTTTGTACATAGTTTTCTAGTCAGTTTTCGTTACTAACAATTTCATTTTTGTATATAGTCTTTCTCTCTTTCTCACCTTGTTTTGCTCGTGCTACGGTTTTTGGAGCTTCATAAAGGGTGTTATTCTTTCACCTTGGTTATTGTAGCATAGCTTTGACGCTCGGTGAGAACATTCTTATTTTATCTTTTCACCTTTATTTCTTTACTTTTATTGGATGCTTACATTAGGATTAGTTTTAGGATGAGTTGATCGTCCGAGGATGTTTGCCTTGTAACACCTAGCGTGTTTGGGGTCATTGGCGTTGTTGCCAAATGACCGCTTTGTTTGACAATTGGGTTTCCAGCTGGAGCTGCTGCTGGTGAAAAGAAGGCTTTTGCCGGAATTTAAGGTGTTTTTTTTGGATAGATATTGTGATGTAGCTAGGATCTATCACAGGGCTTGGAAATTAGTATTGTTTGCAGACCCTTGAATTTTGATACTTGAAGAATTTTCATGATTACTGAATACTATGTTTCTTTTGTTAAAATCATATTGGGAAATTGTAGTACAAACATCTTTATGGTATCAAATGTTTTGTCTTAGGACCTCCCGCAAGTTTTGGCAATATAGTTACAATGACTCCCTTTCAACTTCTCCCTCACCATTTTAAGATGATGGTTCTTTTGGGTTTGGATTCTAAATAGCTGAACTCTGGACCCCAGTTCCCCAAATTGCTGCATGTTGGGATTTCCTTTTCCTTTGGTTTGGTTGCTACAGTAATGTTGTAATCCTTGCCTGCTGTTGCTGCATTTGTGAATGAAGTTCTACCTTTCTGTTCTTTGTGCACGAGTTTCGGACTTGAATGACATTTAGAAAAACTCAGCTTACAGAACTTGCCTGTTGCTACATTTGTGTTTTAAGTACCACCTTTCTATTCTTTGTGCACGAGTTCTAGACTTGAACGGTATGTAGAAGAACTAAGTTTACTAAACCTGACCTGAACCTATTTGTTGTTAGCGTTTGGCTTATAAACTAGAACTATTGACAAACCAGTAGATAAACTAGAACTACAAATCAACCAAATTTTGGAGCAGATGCCTTGACCTAAATCTCATTTGGTCAATTCATCTGACAGCTCAAATAGCTCCTTTTTTTTTTTATAATAGCTAAAATCTCATTTAGTGCTTTTTTTTTGTTGATAACCTCAAATATATTTTTCTTTAATGGTCAAAAGTCGTCTTATTTCCTGTTAAATTATTACTACTCGTATACCTTTATATCCCATTTAATACAATAATAATTAATTATACACAAGTATTTTTTTATTATGATTATTATAAAGTTGATTGACAAAGTCGTGTTGCATCGCTTCGATATTATTTAGGAATCATTGGGTTCTTTTGGTCTTATGCATGGCTAAGCGTGAAGTCATCATCTTTGATTCTTTGAGGCAGAAGCGAAATTTAGCAATTAAGTTTGCAATGACAAAGTAAGTCTAGTTTGTTATTAATGTCATGATTTTATGTGTGTAAGGATATTATATATGTTATTTGTTTCAAATGTGTAGTGCTTTTCGAAGTTTCAAGGCATTAAGTGGACAATCTAGGGGAAGTAAATTGACATGGCATTTGGGACATGTTACCTTAATTTCTTACCCTAACTTTTAGTTTCTTAATAATTTAAGTATAGCAATTTAATTCAACTTATAAATATATTACATGTAGTGTCCTCAACAATTGGGTGGGACGTGAGTATGGCTATTGCGTCATGCGTTATATGTACGAAATACTTGAACATCACCAAAGCAATGAGGATCTTATTCTGGTATGAGTTGTCAAATATTTCATTTTTGTTTGATAAATACAATTTGATGTTAGCTACAATCTTGAATTAAAACTTTCCTCTTGTATATTTGTTGTGTTGATAGGATTTTTCAAGAACTACACCGTACACCAAGGAGGAGATAAATGAGATTCGAGATATTTGGGCAGAGTATTTTATATGTAATGTTGAACTTTAGATTTACACTTAGCGCATGTTGGACTCTTGTTTTGGATTATAGGCTTGACATGAATGCTTTTGGTTAATTGGTGTTGGGATAATGAGTATAATGTCTATGATATTGAGATGTAAATTATTGGACAGGTTGTTAATATAATGCCGTCATTCCCAATTTTATGGGTAGGCCAAAATACAAAGGAGACTCTGCCGAAATTTACATTTGCATTATTCAATAATATTGCATTTTAATTTCAATTATATTAGCGTTAGCATATAACTTTATACCACTAGCAAGGAAAACAGGTTTTACAAACATATACAAGGCAATTATTATAATTAAAAAAAAAATTCACCTCATTTGCGTCACTCATTAAACAAACAAGTGACGCAAATAATGCAATTTTGTATTGTCTAGTCAGTCATTTGAGTCACTCCTATATAAACAAGTGACGCAAATAACAAACAAGAAGTTTATCTGAAGAGTCATTTGCGTCGCTCTTTTATAAAGGAGTGACGCAAATAACAAACAAGAAGTTTATCAGAAGAGTCATTTGCGTCACTCCTTTATAAAGGAACGACGCAAATGACTCTTAGTTGCGTCGCGCCTGGGAGCGACGCAAATGACTTTTAAGTCATTTGCGTCGCGAGCAGTTGCGTCGCTCATAGAAGCGACGCAAATACACTATAAATGAGCGACGCAAATAAGCCTTTTTCTACTAGTTCAATAAATACTTCATGCTAATAAAAAATGAATTTATTAGGATCTGAACTCAAGACCTTATACATAAAGCACCAACCTCTTAACCACTGCTCCTATTTAATTTTATGGTATCATAATGCAACTAATTAACCTATATCCAAAATTTTGGGGCCCCTAAAATTTGGGAGCCTTGTTCCGTCGACCACCTAGCGCTGGCTTATAACCGCCACTGCACTTTTAGTTTGCTTTTCTTTGCCCTTTCCCTGATCAAAATACAATTTAGTTTGCTTTTCTTTGCCCTTTTCTTTCTCTAAGCAGGATTATAAAGACATGATTTAGCATGGTTTTTAATGTTTTTAAACCATTAAGATTACCATCAACGGCAATTAAGCTCATAGTTTTCCATTCTCGACATATTCTAAGTAATATTTCCACTACTCAGCTTTCCTCTTGCTTTTTCTGTTCCATATATATTCTCGACCCGCTTTTAGCTTCTTATCCGGAGGCAAAGTAAACTGCAATTCTTCCATATCCTTTTCAGAATGTGACTGTGACATTTGTTGAGAAAAAGTAGCAGGCCTTTTGGATTGAGAGCTCTCCATTTACAGTACATTCACAATATAAGAAATTTTTAAGTCATAATAATAACACACATACCATTTTATAAAAAAATTGTGAGAAGAACTTACAGTGCAAGAATAAGAATCCTTAGTTCCTTTTTGATCCTAAACATATAATTCAATAGAATTTAATAAAAATTTTACAAAAATATAATACATACACTATAAAAATAATAAAACAGAAAAATATTTCTTTTTAGCTGTGACGCATGATAACGAAATTTGTTTACAACAGGTTAAATTATTTTATACTACATGTTAAATTATTATTTACAAGTTAAATTATTATTAAGAAAAATGCATACACTATAAAAAAAAATAAAAACAGAAAAAATAGAAATTACACTCACAATTTGAAAATTCAACATTAATTCGAAACAAATGAACTAAAAAAAAAATCGAAAACAATTATTTAAACTCACAAAAAGACCAAAAAATAAACCATGAAGTCAAAATAAATGAACTAAAAGAAACATAAATTCAACATGCCAACTTCAAATAAACATTATAAGCAAATGAAACATGAATAAACATATAAATTCTCACACTTAATTCATTATTTCGAATACAAAATACTCAAACATAATTATATTTACATTTAAAAAAACTTACGATGCCCGGAGTCTTTGCGCTAGTAGCCTGCTGGACGGTGGACGTCTGGTGTCTAGTGGTCGCTTGAGGGAAGCGTGCAGCCATGCAGGTGCGGGGTTAGGGTGTCAGCTGAGAGAGTGAGGGAGTTTGAGGTAGAAATGAAAACTGGTTTCTTGTTTTGATTTTTAAAAGAAAAGCTTTTTTTTTTAAAAAAAAAAATCAATTTTATCGGGTTTCAAGTCTGGACTTGAAAACCCTGGTTTTAATCCTGATACGAACCGGAACCAGAATCCTTGGATTTCAAGGACCGGGACCGGACCTGAATCTACATATCCGGGTTAGATACGGCTTAAACAGGTTTGGTTGCGGTCAGTTTTCAGGTCCGATCCTTTTTATGTACACCCCTTCTTATCCTTCCTTCCTTCCTTCCTCCTTTGTCTGATTAAATTCCATAAAGAGGAGCCTTGTGAGGGGGCAAGTCGCCGGTTCAATAATGAATGCCAGTTTTAGGCTTGGCCGACCTGGTAGTTTTGATAAGGGGGTTGTTTCGGATTTTGGACAGATGCTCCAGCGTCCGCCTGAGAAGAGGAAGGATACCTTCCAAAAGAGTGCAGCTCGGATGACATCAAGACCGAGCCGGTGAATTGTGTGAAGCGTGGTCCCGAATTTTGTTCGGACGCTTCCCTAGTAGAAGGAGTACCTTGACGATTTTGGCGTTCTTCAAAGGAAGTGGTCACTTCGACCATAGAGCATTCACTACCACTAGCTGTGGTTGTATTTGTGTCCATCCTGTCCATGTTACTCGGATCATGGGAGACTAGAGGGTTCACTAGACTACCGTCCGAATTTCTGGGAACATGTCTATCGTACGTATGCCTCGTGGCATGTTCGTTTGCAGGGACAGAGAAGAATATGTGGGGGTGAGTTAGTACGCACTAGAAATGGACTCTCTCCACGGAGATGAGGACTCGTCCCCGTCCACTCTAGACTCTTTAGTCCAAGGTGAACGACCAGCCTCATGAGGAGAAATGGACGAAGCCTGGTGTTGTGCTAGTTCGTGTTTAAAATACAATGACTAAAGAAAAATAAGGAAGAAGTAAAGAATAGCAAACAATTACCTCTGTACGTGTAGAAAACTTTGAGAAGTCTTGGAAAGTCTTGAAGGTTGACCAGAAAACTCAAAAACTTGACCGGAAAACTCAAGGAACACGACGGAGCTCTCGAAGATTAGGAAAGAAAGTAATTTTCTCTCTCTAAAAGCTCTAACTTCTCTTTAGAATGCACAAATTTCTAAAGTGCTAAAATGAAGTCTAACAAGTCCGGTTTATAGGCAAAATTTATGAGGGCGAAATGTTAAATCCAATTTTCCCTCTCAGAAGCTCGAACGGTAATTTTTTAAAAAGGTTTAACTTAGAAGATGAACTGTTAAAAAACCGGTTCGTCATTTAAGGTGGAAAGACGTAATGCCACACTATGGCGTGTCAAATTAATTGGCCAGTTCAGCAAAATTCAAACCTTCATTCCGCCAAGTACGGATGATAGGTGTCCCCTCTCAAGCCAGTCGGCACAACCCGTCCACCTGATTTTGAGACTCAAAATCCATTAAGTGAAATCAAGCGGACAGACAAGGTAGACTGCCCAAAAGGAGAAATCCCTCTGATGGACGGACGGGAATGTTCGTCTTTTACTATTGTCAATGGTCCATCAGCCAAAACTCGGACGACGTAAGACGAGTAAAAGATCATATGAGGAGGCTCATATGGTACGAGTCACCCCCTCAGGTGGAAAATGTTTAGGGTAAAAAAACCCCCAACACATGGTCCAATCTCATAGCGACATGTGGCCCAATAAAATTGTGACACGTGTCTCTATAGGAAGGACACATGTGTCAAGCATGAAGAGAACCTGAAATGAGAGAAAAGGGCTTCCTTACATCAGGAGCCAAAATCCCTAGAATGCGGCAAAACGACGCCCTATATGGACACGTGCCTTCACCTGATTGCACCGCCAATCAGATTACACCATCGTGGGTTACAAAACCCTAGAGGACACACTTTTCCACCCCTATAAATACCCCAATCATTTATTATGGGAGGAGTGGATAGAGACATATTATTCTAAGAGCATTGAATAGCTCCATCTTCACTCTACTTTCTCTCTCTAAATTTATTCCGTTTTTGGTCACTAACGTGATCGTCGAAGGAGAATATTCCATTAAGTGGAATATTCGTAGTTTTGCAGGTGTTAGCGACCATCCAGCTATTATTCAAGACCAGTATCCCGAGGGATTCCGAAAAAACCCGAAATAACATGCATCTAGATTTTTCTAGATCTTGATATTTTACAAGATATTTCTAAACCTCTCTTGGTTTTTCTAATTCATTCTAGATTTTTCTATAGACACTAGATTTTTCATACCACATCTAGATGTTTCTAAATTAACCTCTAACACTTCCCTTAATCTTGAAAAATCTTTGTTGAAAAAACTTCATTGATGCTTCTTTCATCAATGGTCTCCAAACTTGATTTTAAAAGTTTTCTTGTTATACACATTGGTTCCTATGTCACAAATCATCTATAGTTTTTGTTGGTACCCAACCAACAATTTCACTTTGTTGGTGCTCATGTCACCGACCTTCTCCAAAAATATTTTTGTATTCAAATTTTTGTTTGTTTTCGGGGCTCGTGTCACCAACTATCTCCGCTAATGCTCTTGTCATT